TTTTATAAATTTTTTTTAATAATTTTTTTTAATAAAATGATCTTCTAATTAAACAGATCTTAAAGTAAATTGATCACAGAGGTTCGAAGGAAATTTCCCAAAAGTTTTCAATCTCTATAAGTGATTATCTTTTTCTGAAACACATATAATCAAGTATTCTAAAAAATTAGTTGGCTATAGTTTCTTTTGATATTTTGTGCCTCAAAAGAAGATTTTTCTAAGCCCATTTGAGCTCTGTTTCAAGTGCAACTTCCTCGAAATTACTTCCAAAAAAAAAAAAAGAAAAAAATATGGTAACCAAAGCCCACCCTACTGGTTAAATCAAAAACTTTAAATGTTTGTCTTTTATAAGGATTAGTACTTTTTCTCTGTTCAAGACTGTTGGTATGTCGTGATCAAATAATTGATGAAGAATTTTTCCTATCCTCACTAAATGATTAATGAGAATTTCCTCCTTTGAAGTAATTCCAAAAAATTGAAACAATATATGGAAACTAACCATCTAAACAATTAATCAACTGTTCTAGCAGCATCATCATTCCAAATTTCTAATAAATTCTCTCTTCTTCTTCTTCTTCTTCTGTTTTTTTTTTGTTCTAATGCATCATCATCATTCTAATATTTCATGATTTATCCTTACGAACCGCTGGCCCATAGAAAAATCCTCATGAACCCATTCCGAATTAGTCAATAAGCCCGTACCTTCTTGGCCCGTAACTGGGGTCCGATCCCCATCTCATCCGGCTCATGTTGGCTTCACCTCACCTACTGGTAATGGAAATCTACCAGCCAAAGCTTAAGAGAGCCTAAACACAAAATTTTAATAGGCATAAACCTCAAGTTCAACTAACAAAAAATTAGTTGAATTAATATTTATTTTAATTTAAAATTTTTACTCTAATTTAAAATTAAAGATTCAAACTCATGTAATTCAAAGTGGTAATAACTCCTTATTTATAAAAATAAATAAATAACTTCAAACTGGACCAAGATATATATCTACGTGTAGACTACAAACTTCAAATACGGGTTAACGATCTAAATAATTTAGTAGTCATCTCCTTTCGTTGGAAGTAAAAAGTTCTAAGTTTGAGTTATATGACATGCAGGTGGGATATGATAAAAGATTGAAAATAATTACTTCTCAATGTGTAACCAATAAAAAAAAAACACTTCAAATACGGGAGGGTATATTTTTTCAGGGATTTATGGAAACGGGACAAATACGCTCGTGGAATGGTAGTCTCAGTTTTTTGTGCACTGCTGCTTGCTTTAATGCAACATTCCAGCAAAGTACGCGCAGATATTTGGGTTATTCTATTCATAATAATTTTTCATCTTCAACCTAACAAGAACAGAGAGATTGTCCAAGAAATTGCAACGTCCATTTTTCAAAGTGGGAACAACAAAAGGTTTCTTTATTTCTTTCTTTGTGTCGTGAAAGCGTGGCAGAAGGGAAAGAGTTTCGTGCGTGGCATGTGAAATGTCGTGAAAAAGTTGGACTTTGCACCAAATCTGTAGAAAAAATCTCCCCCAATGTGACACTATGTATGCAACTGCGAAGAAATTCACCACAAAAGCCTTCCCCCACATGGAGGACTACTACAATTTCCTTCTTACTAATTGGACCATTCATTTCTTGCATCCTCGTCACCAGTATGCTTGTGTCTTGCCAACCACACCTTTACCATTTCTTTGTAGACCCCCTTTTACTTTACTTGCTTACTTTGGATTATCTAAACAACGAAGTGTAAGAAAAATGAAAACGTTTTGTGCATTTTGGACTGTTATTAAATTGTATAAAATTAATTATCAAATGAAAACCGACACTCTCTCGTTTAATGTAGGTAATTTTATAGTTTAATATAATCAAGGCTATAAAACTAAAAACTCAAAAAAATTATTCTATTTACTTTGTAAACCTTTTATCCATTAACTTTACTTTCAATCTCTCTTCCTGCCATTCTTTTATTTTGGTTCCCATGATAGGACTCATCTTTCTCTAATTGCTATACTTAATTC